ATGAGATTAGGAATGCCGATACCACAACACAACAGTGCCAGAACAATTATGAGGATTTTCGTTCTATTAATTGTTATAAACCGGGTCGATTTTTCTGGCCACGTGATCGCGATTCCTTGTTGTAGAGCTAACACCATAGTAACAAGTTGTCCAAAGTGTTCATTAACATACACGGCGTAACGCTCGAATGCCTCCCACGTTATCACATGACCGTGACGATGTAAATGATCCTGCAAAAGGGACTCGTTCATGTTTGTGCTCGTGTTGCATTTGCTTATGACGGTGTTTGAGAGACGGGTCGGACCTGTCATGTTTACGTCAGTCGGAGTATCCGTACGTGCGTTAGCACTATTTATACCACACATGATGCTAGCTGTATTTTGAAGCTTCGTATCAACATCTGCTTTGTCCTTTGTTCTCGTCATCAATGTTACACCAACCCCATATTTGAACTTTTTACTGGAAGAGACAAGGTCAAGTTCGTTGTCCTCTTTGAGTAACATAGTGTATCGTTTGACGTCAGTCATCGTTGATATCGACGTTTTATTTTGTCGAATAGAATATTTTGGATTGATAAATTGTTTTAAAGATTCCTGATCATGTTTGGCCATGTGAATGAAATCGAATATATTATGGAAAGACCCGTTTTCATGAATATGTCCTATTTCATGTGCATGAAGATCCATTGAATGTAAGTCGTGTTTGACAAACAGCTCGGCTGTAGCCCAGGATCCCTTCAAGGCTGGTATAACATCCATGTGTACGGCTATCAGAGAGTCGAGAAGTGCCTGCACAGTAAGACATTGCAGCAAAATCGCTGGGACACTTGACAGAGATTTCTGGCACAGAACAAACAGAGTGACGATGTTACCAACAGCGCCAACTAACAGGACCACGGGAGTGATGATGCCAGAAATCAGGTAATTAAACTGCACGGACGAGAAAAGGGCCCCAATACTGAAAGTCGATTTCCCTGAAAACTTCATTGGCGCCATGAGTCACGTGATACCTGTTATGATCAAATCATTTCATAAAAAAGTTTGCTGTGTCAATCGAATTTGCAAATGTAACATTTATCCGGAAAGTGTATTAAAGACTATGTAAAGCATATTTGATGTTCCTTGTTGATATTAAGCATATTCATACATTACAAGTAATGTATTGTATGGAGGAATACCAATGTTTAAACACAGATATCGGGATATTCTGCGGGGCCGATAAAATGTAAAGTAAGTCGATGGAAAAAAGATCGAATTTGTCACTAATAACGTTTTATGATTAACGAAGAAAATGCTGCTATGCCGATAAATACAAGTAGTGACGTCATCTTCAGCACCGATCAGGTGTACCATTCTTCACTGCAATGCCTTCAGCACATTGTTACCGATATTTTACCACAACGAATGTGACAGAATTTTTTTAACACCACCAACAGAAGATTTGAGTGGGACATTTGAATGACTACACGGTCACCTTCATCAGACAAATGACCTTGTATATCATATGTTTAGCTTATAAAGACGCTATCAAACGGTAAGTAGATAACTGATATTTATCATGGATATACCTTCCTAACCTACCGAATCGATATCGATCGTCAATCCACTTAGTGTTATATTGTTTTAAGTTTTACACGATTTCACGTCCTCACACCAGCCAGTGTCCGACATGAGGACGGGGTGCTAAATGTAAAAATACAATGAATAGAATATACATTAAAACCTGCCAGATTTCACATCCTCATATCAACTCTTTCATGATACTTATGGGTCAATCAGGGTCTTTTAATCCAAAGCTATAAAGTAGTATTGTAAGAACGCGAGGAAAACACGCCAACTATTACATATACAAACACAAGAGTATTATCTTTCGGCCTTTGACAAGGGATGGCCGCTAATTAAATTGTCGCTGAATAAAATGCAAAACTGACAACAGTATAAAATTACGGAGCCCGTTAACTGACATGCTCGATACTTATTTTATTTCGTTTTTTCGAAATATTAATTCGTTTAAACGAAATATTATTTCGAAATAACGAATTAATATTTCGAAAAAGCGAAATATTTCGTTTAAACGAATTATTATTTCGAAAAACGATTTCGTTTAAACGAATTATTATTTCGAAAAAACGAAATAAAATAAGTATGGAGCATGTCACTTAACGGGCTCCGTATAAAATCGTAGTTCTACCACAATTATTGGGGTTTATTCAACTCCCAATGCATCAATTTATCATCACAGCTGTTGCTGAAGAGCCACACGTAGATCAAACACCAAACGCACGAAGAGAGTTTTTTTTTTATATTTCTGTCGTAATCCGTCAGCGATATGGTTTTTTGTGTTAGCGACTGTGACTCGGTGATATTACTGCAGACGTATATACACGTAATGGCATTACAAGACACCAAGAATAAACATTGAGGACTAAATTCATAAGGAGACTCTGACGAGGAATGAGATTACGTTTACGATAAAAACCTAAACCGATGTGTCGTTTATTTACTTTTGTCGTGATGCATGCTTCATGGTAAAATCAGCACTTATCGCCAAAAATATACTGCCGTTTTAAAACACTCGGTATGAAGAACAAAACAATATTTTATAGGCAACAGTGATATATATTTGTTTACATACAAATCTTAACACGTAATACTGGTAACATAAACAAATTAATATTTGCGACAGTACGAATGACGTTTCTTTAAGATTTACCAATACATGTTTAAGTAAATGTGTAAACTACCTAAGAACATATTACTCAACTCCATGATCTATTGCACAGCATCGATAAGATTGAGTGTGATAGAAATAATCAAAAACATTTCTTTTCAAATAGATGTCTCACTCTCGTCTCATTTTATTAAATGTATCCGGTATTACGTACACGCCACTTGCAGTGATTTGCTTTTAATAAATGTAAATAACAGAAAATGATCGGTTTCTTTAAACATACGTTATCTAAATTGGGATTTATTTAAAATTCAGTCTGATTTCAGTTTGATTTACTTCAGATGTAATTAAGACAAAGTATTATATACCTGAACACATTTTTTAACCTCATAAATACACGAAATTGATTACAAAACAACAACATACAGGTATATCGTTCAATCTCTTCCTCTCTGTACCCCACCAATGCTTGCATGGTAAAGGGTTTCTATCTGGAGAATGTGAGGTTTTATGATAAAGCGTGTTATTATAATCAGACACAATATGCTATAGCACATGACAGTTTTTCTACGTCATTTCGCCCACACACGCGGGGTATCCTGTACTAATAAAATCACTTACTGCTAGCAAAAATGCTGGTGAAACGGGCCATTCACTTAAGTGGTGCACGCTTAATAAGAAAAAATCTCTCAATCTGTCTGTGTTGTAAATTACTTTTCACCTCTCTCGTTATCGCTTTGGTGTACTTCTGGTATGTGAGATATTCTTTGTGGCATGGTGTAGTTTTTAAAAAGTAGAATATCTGGGTTTAAAGACAATTTTTACGTAGATCAAATAGATAAATTAAAAACAAACCGCACAGCAAAAAACATTATTTCTATTCTCATATTATATATACCTGATACATCTGTGTATATTATATCTTGTATATACCTCGTGTATCTGCTTACATCATATATACCTCAGGTTTTTTTTTAAATCACTCTTCAATCAACCTGATATATCGGGGTTCTGTTTTTAAATTGTTCTCAAACAATTTTACTCTGATTTCTTCGGATATCATTACATTCGGAAGTGGCAAGAGTTAGGTTACCATCAGCTTTCAATTTCATGTCTTCAGCGATTTTTAATTTTCCACGATCTTCCATTGGCATCCTATCCGCCCTGTGTCCAAAATGTCCGATAAGGCCAGAAGTAGCATTCAAATTGTCACAAATACCCCGTAACGCTTCCCTGAATTTCCGTGCAAGCACACAGTATATCAAGAAGCTAGCAGCTGACTGAGAAATGTACAAAAGGCGAATAAAGGTCAGAAGTTTAGTCATTAAAGAAAAGTTCTGAACATATTTTTCTTTTGAAATGAAAGTAACCACATTGATGAATATGTACAGGGGAAGCTGAAAGAAAAACAAAACTACCAATATTAACGTAATGTTGATTTCTGCATGTTCCGCTTTCCCAATATGTTTAAACGAAGCATATCGCTTCTTCAACGCGGTTATTTTTTGGAGAATTGCCACATTTATGAAAAATAAAACAACACATAAAAATAGACTAGAAACAGTATAGAACCGTTCGTAATCTCGTCTCCAAGATGCAATCAATAAGTCTCCAGTTTCTGGTCGGATCATTTCCGGACTATTTACTGCGTGTGTTATTTCTCGCAGAACTTGAGGCAAATGGACTAAAACACACAAGACTACGATGCCAATAATTGCCAAGCGGGTCCGGTGTACCGTAATGAGTCTGAAAGCCTGTAGTGGTACATACACGGCAATGCATCTTTCAAGTGCAAGACATATCGTTATCAATAATCCGAAAAATACTATCGTGTAGGCAAAAAATCGTTCAATCGCTTTCCTGATAAACGACGTTATTTCAATACTTTCGTCGAGAAATTCCGAAGCATTCCCTAGAAATGAATATTCAAAATGCGTTAGATTCTGGAGTAGATAAATGGTTGAATTATGGTGTCCATTCGCTGGTAGTGTTATGAGTTCTTTCACTAAGTTCTGGAAAGACGGGTCACTATAACACAGATTGGTCCCGTTGTTGCTAACAGACAAATTTGATGAATATGATTGTTGGCAAGCAAGCATATTATTTCTACACGGCGTGGTATTTTTTTCTATGGTTTGTTTTTCACATGGATCTATACGTAAGCTTACATCCTGGTAAAGGCCAATCATATCGAGGACCGTTACGTAAGACCGAATGGCAGGCTCAATGTCTGAATACACAGCATACAACATGTTCACTAACGCGTGCACTGTTAAACATTGCAAAAGGCACACGGGGGCGCTGCGTAAAGACTTCCGACATAGAAGTACAAGGGTAGCTAAGTTACCTATTATGCCTACACTGACAACAACTGACATTATAATACCGGAACAGATGAATATAAAATAAAACTGTGAGTATATTTCCTCTACCGTAAGGCTTGGAATCTCCTCTTGTCCGCTCATTCTCAATTTATACCGGGAGTTTATATCGTCAAGGTCACACAAAGGCTTGTAATGTATATTCACTGTTTATCCTGGAAGGACACATTCTTGATCACACAAACACAAGATCTATCACACGAATGCATAACATATCACAGGTATCATGTAAACTGCCTTGTGAAATGAAGGCTTCAGTCTCGTTTGCTTGTGTAAATACAGGTATATGTCCTGAATGGATTCCTTGAATATAAGTTCCTGTAATATTTGTAAAACGCGCTACAATAAATACACACGTGTTAATTACATGTCTATTGTTACAATTATATATAATATATATTTGTACGATTACTACTTGTAAAATAATCGCTTTTCACAGACATATTGGAGCAGGGATATATGATCGGATAATTACACATCCTGGTTGGAGTAATTACAGATCTATATCTTGTCCATTTCAAAACAGTGATAATACAACCTTCCAGTCCGCTATTACTTTGCCTACAATCACTGTCCTTTTGCGTGTAGATAATGTGATCTTGTCAGTGGCACACAGACTTCATCAAAAGCCCTAACAAAACTTTATCAAATCAATAAATGTTCTACGTTATCAATCTGCAAGCAGAAAAGGTTCTATGCATTATGCAATAGGAAATCACGTCAGTAATGCATTTAAAAAATAGGTTATAGAAATTAATTTTCAGTATTAATTTATTTACACTTGCTTTACTCATGCTCAGCTAACAGAAACTTTTTAAATGAAAACGATTACGGTCCAAGGGTACAAAATATATTCGGTGTACATAAAAGCACTTTCTTCCAGGAGATTCGATGCCATGCGTATATCTGCTAGTCTACAGGGAATTATAAAGAGATGGCTTATACCAGTTGCTGAATTCGTTTTTGTGTTGCAACAATATTTAGAAATGCATCCTTTGCTGTGTTACAAGGCCGTCATTGTGACGTCATTTATCTCATAGTGACTATTTGTACATGACAAAATATGTTTAAAATCAGGGAGTCGTGGTTAATATATGCATATCGATTCCGATGTTTATCAGCAATAGCAATCTTTGTCTTGCACGACTAAACGATACACAACAAAGGTCAGTGTAATGGTCACACACTTATGGTACCACAGTGGTCAGTGTAAATGTCACACAATTATAGTGGTACCACACTAGTCAGTGTAACGGTCATATAACTATGGTACCACAATGGTCAGTGTAACGGTCACATGACTATGGTATGACAGTGGTCAGTGTGAATGTCACACAATTATGGTACCACAATGGTCAGTGTAAATGTCACACAATTATAGTGGTACCACAGTGGTCATTGTAACTGTCAGAAATAATTATGGTACCACAATGGTCAGTGTAACGGTCATATAACTATGGTACCACAGTGGTCAGTGTAACGGTCACATGACTATGGTACGATAGTGGTCAGTGTAACGGTCATATAACTATGGTACGGCAGTGGTCAGTGTAACGGTCACATGACTATGGTACCACAGTGGTCATTGTAACTGTCATATAACTATGGTACCACAATGGTCAGTGTAACGGTCATATAACTATGGTACCACAGTGGTCAGTGTAACGGTCACATGACTATGGTACGATAGTGGTCAGTGTAACGGTCATATAACTATGGTACGGCAGTGGTCAGTGTAATGGTAATATAACTATGGTACGACAGTGGTCAGTGTTACTGTCATATAACTATGGTACAGCAGTGGTCAGTGTAATGGTCATATAACTATGGTACGACAGTGGTCAGTGTTACTGTTATAACTATTGTGGTCATATATATAACTATGGTACCACAGTGATCAGTGTTACTGTCATATAACTATGGTACCACAGTGATCAATGTTACTGTCATATAACTATGGTACCAAAGTGATCAGTGTTACTGTCATATAACTATGGTACCACAGTGATCAGTGTTACTGTGTCATATAACTATGGTACCACAGTGATCAATGTTACTGTCATATAACTATGGTACCAAAGTGATCAGTGTTACTGTCATATAACTATGGTACCACAGTGATCAGTGTTACTGTCATATAACTATGGTACCACAGTGATCAGTGTTACTGTCATATAACTATGGTACCACAGTGATCAGTGTTACTGTCATATAACTATGGTACCAAAGTGATCAGTGTTACTGTCATATAACTATGGTACCAAAGTGATCAGTGTTACTGTCATATAACTATGGTACGACAATGGTCAGTGTATAATATAACTAGGGTCACACAGTGACCATTATTGTAGCGATGCTTGTACAATATTATTAAAATTAACTCGTAATCGCAAGATATACGTAGTTCACATCATATATCCATCATTTACCACTTAACAAATCTCCTCAGTCTTTATTCTTCTCGAAACTCTAATGAAATACATTTTTTTATAATCTTGACGAGCTTGGCGAAACAAATTAGAAATGGCCCAACCTGGAGCAAATGAACATATATAGAAATTGTCTATCATTGGAAGTGCCAACTCCGTCGACATGATATAAGACCTCTACGTCTTTGGGTAGCGCTTTACTTACTTGGTCCACTGGGTTTCATATGGATTTCATGTGTTCAATAAAATACAGGAGTGCGACAGCCGTGTATATTGGAGCACGAGTGTCGGGATGGTCTGGTTGACGAGCGCATTGCTACCAGGTCATAGAACTACATTCAATGAATATATTGATCGTTATCTAAGTACGTTATATAAACACATTGCATGAAGTTTAAACATTTTTAAAGAGAAAACATTGGTATTGAATCCATAATTATCAATTCATTCCAAAACCAGTCGCGGATCGAAAACAGAACTCGTTATCACACAGGATCGGTTTTCTTTATATATCCTTGAATTAATGTTTTAGCTGGTTCTATTCTTTTGAGATAATTCCATATTATATTACGAGGGCTGATTGATGAGTTGTGAGCCTTACATTGTAAAACTTAAGCAGGGATGTCCTTTTTCAGCTCTACTATTTCCTGGTTCTTAAGACTATGTACCCGACGACTGCTGTCATTTGGTCAGTTTATGTCGAAGAGGTAGCACTCTAAAGTAAACAAGGCAAGTTACGTTTGCAAAATGGACAAAATCGCTGAAAGAGCGGTGATTGAGTATTTGCATAATAAAGGTCTAGCACCTAAGGGTATCCATACTGATATGGTAGCATCACTCAGGTATGATACCCCTTCATATGCTACAGTGAAGAGGTGGGTTACGGAATTTAAGCGAGGCAGGCAAAGCCTCAGAGCTTTGGTCGATGACGCCCATCATGGACGGTCTGTCACTGTTGCAACCCCAGAAATGGTCAGTAAAGTCCATGATATTGTTATATCCGACTGGCGAGATACAGAGCGATATATAGTCAGTACAGTTGGGATTTCACAGGAAAGAGTACATTCCACAGTTACGGAAGATCTTACATTGAGAAAGTTCTGACAGTTGATCAGAAGCACATCAAGTGGATTTTGTCGAGTGCTAATCTGAACCTTTTAGAGGCAGACCATCCAAACTTTCTGCATGGATTTGTTACTATGTATGAAACGTGGGCCCATCATTTCACCCTAGAGGCCAAACAACAATCCAAACATTGGAAGCACCATGGTTCACCCCCGTCAAAGAAGGCAAAGAGAAAATATTAAACTCAAGCTCCCCGAAAAACTTAGCAAAGGCGTATTGTTTCACAAGGACAATGCATCTGTTCACAAGTCTATCATTTTCATGACTGCCATTTACGACTGGGGCTTTGAATTGATTGAGCATCCGCCTTTTTTTTTGCCTTATCTCGCTCCATCATTTATTTTCAAAATTGAAAAAGGCCATTACCGGTACCCACTTTCTGTCAGATGATGACGTCATACATGCAGTAGAGGACTTTCTGAACTGTCAAGAAAAAGGACTTCTTTAAAAGTGACATTGAGACCACGAAACATCACTGTCAAAAGTGTATAGATACTGAAGGAGATTATGTTGGAAAATCTTGGGTGGATTAAAAAAATCTGTTAAATATCTCCGGTACATTACGTGTGTCATAGTAAGACTACGTTATATATTTCGTTATATATGTTTAAGTGTAGAGCAAATTCACTGAGAATAGATTGATTGATGAAAAAAGATGTACAAAAATGTATATATAAAAGCATGTCGCGTACAGAATTTTGCCTCAAAGTTCATCGCTTTGCTTTCAACATTTTTTCAAACTTCTTAAGGTAGTCTTGTATTTATAATACACGGTAGTGTGTACATAAAATACACGTGAATTTTACATGTCGGTAAGCACATTGGGTTTGTCATATTGTCAATGTGCATGCATCGTTTTAAAAAGAACACGGTTAACTACATAGATAACATGAGACTCCCCTGAATGTAGGTGAATAGGAATGACTAGATCTACACACATCGCTTCACTGCATCATTTGTTATAACTTTAATTGATTTTGGTTAGCGGACTCTGAATACTGGATAATGTATTGAAAAAAAATAAAGAATTAACAAAAAATGAAAAAAAATAAAATAAATAAATAATACGAAACTACAGACAGGTAGTGTTATTATTTAATTTGTTTCACGCCAGAGAATATGCACTGTGTTTGGACAATGAATTCAATAGCTCGTTAAATGCCCAACATTTCTATCACGTTTAGAACATACTGCATGACTAGACTGGCAGCCCCAGAATTATACTTCCTGGTCTACGGTTGTCAATACGGCTGAATAACTCACTTTATCTCAGATCGATACAAAAGGTTTCGGTACTTACCTGGCTATTTATTATGGAATAGAAAGGAAACCTCGACCAGACGTGCGCCTTTGGTGACAAAGTTTATGTTGACTGAAAGAAAGACTACAGTAAGTTGGTGAATATTTATCTTAAATCTTTTCAGTTGACAATTTTATTAAGTAGGAAACTAATATACATTTTTATCAATGTTGCTTAAAACTGTAGAGTAAGATATTATAGTAAGACACATCTATAATGACTGTAAACAAACACGTCCCTATTACTTATAGATGTAAACAGACAAACCCCTATTACTTATAGATGTAAACAGACACGTCACTTTTACTTATAGATGTAAACAGACACGTCACTTTTACTTATAGATGTAAACAGACACGTCCCTATTACATATAGATGTAAACGGGCACGTCCCTATTACATATAGATGTAAACAGACACGCCCCTATTACTTAGACACATCGCCTTTACTTATAAATGTTAACAGACACGCCCCTATTACTTAGACACATCGCCTTTACTTATAAATGTTAACAGACACGTCCCTATTACTTAGACACGTCACTATAACATACAGATGTTAACAGACACGCCCCTATTACATATAGATGTAAACAGACAAGTCCCTATTACTTAGACACGTCCCTATTATTTATTGATGAAAACAAACACGTCCCTATTACTTATAGATGTAAACAGACACGTCCCTATTACTTATAGATGTAAACAGACACGTCCCTATTACTTATAGATGTAAACAGACACGTCCCTATTACTTATAGATGTAAACAGACACGTCCCTATTACTTATAGATGTAAACAGACACGTCACTTTTACTTATAGATGTAAACAGACACGTCACTATTACTTATAGATGTAAACAGACACGTCACTTTTACTTATAGATGTAAACAGACACGTCCCTATTACATATAGATGTAAACGGACACGTCCCTATTACATATAGATGTAAACGGGCACGTCCCTATTACATATAGATGTAAACAGACACGCCCCTATTACTTAGACACATCGCCTTTACTTAAAAATGTTAACAGACACGCCCCTATTACTTAGACACATCGCCTTTACTTATAAATGTTAACAGACACGTCCCTATTACTTAGACACGTCACTATAACATACAGATGTTAACAGACACGCCCCTATTACATATAGATGTAAACAGACAAGTCCCTATTACTTAGACACGTCCATATTATTTATTGATGAAAACAAACACGTCCCTATTACTTATAGATGTAAACAGACACGTCCCTATTACTTATAGATGTAAACAGACACGTCCCTATTACTTATAGATGTAAACAGACACGTCCCTATTACTTATAGATGTAAACAGACACGTCACTTTTACTTATAGATGTAAACAGACACGTCACTATTACTTATAGATGTAAACAGACACGTCACTTTTACTTATAGATGTAAACAGACACGTCCCTATTACATATAGATGTAAACGGGCACGTCCCTATTACATATCGATGTAAACAGACACGCCCCTATTACTTAGACACATCGCCTTTACTTATAAATGTTAACAGACACGCCCCTATTACTTAGACACGTCACTATAACATACAGATGTTAACAGACACGCCCCTATTACATATAGATGTAAACAGACAAGTCCCTATTACTTAGACACGTCCCTATTATTTATTGATGAAAACAAACACGTCCCTATTACTTATAGATGTAAACAGACACGTCCCTATTACTTATAGATGTAAACAGACACGTCCCTATTACTTATAGATGTAAACAGACACGTCCCTATTACTTATAGATGTAAACAGACACGTCCCTATTACTTATAGATGTAAACAGACACGTCCCTATTACTTATAGATGTAAACAGACACGTCCCTATTACTTATAGATGTAAACAGACACGTCCCTATTACATATAGATGTAAACAGACACGCCCCTATTACATATAGATGTAAACAGACAAGTCCCTATTACTTAGACACGTCCCTATTATTTATTGATGAAAACAAACACGTCCCTATTACTTATAGATGTAAACAGACACGTCCCTATTACTTATAGATGTAAACAGACACGTCCCTATTACTTATAGATGTAAACAGACACGTCCCTATTACTTATAGATGTAAACAGACACGTCCCTATTACTTATAGATGTAAACAGACACGTCCCTATTACTTATAGATGTAAACAGACACGTCCCTATTACTTATAGATGTAAACAGACACGTCCCTATTACATATAGATGTAAACAGACACGCCCCTATTACATATAGATGTAAACAGACAAGTCCCTATTACTTAGACACGTCCCTATTATTTATTGATGAAAACAAACACGTCCCTATTACTTATAGATGTAAACAGACACGTCCCTATTACTTATAGATGTAAACAGACACGTTCCTATTACATATAGATGTAAACAGACACGTCCCTATTACTTATAGATGTAAACAGACACGTCCCTATTACTTATAGATGTAAACAGACATGTCCCTATTACATATATATGTAAACAGACACGTCCCTATTACTTATAGATATAAACAGACACGTCCCTATTACTTATAGATGTAAACAGACATGTCCCTATTACATATAGATGTAAACAGGCACGCCCCTATTACTTATAGATGTAAACAGACATGTCCCTATTTATTATAGATGTAAACAGATGACACCATGACGATCGTGTATTACAACCCATCAACCAAAGGTAGATCCACCAGGATAGTGCACGCTCTTTTGGTATGCACAACATTAGCCAAGGTTGGTATTTTTGAAATTATTGGAATTATTCTTATCTCTAAATATTTAACATTGAAAAGCGAAAGTATGAATTAATACATTTAAAGATTTTGCCAAAACATCACAACCAATTTTTTTTAATTGCACGATAGAGTGGTGAGGTAGGGGAAAATGATAGTTCTATAAATTTCAATTTGAAAGTAAGGTCCATCTTACTTCGAAATAAATTACAGTTCGTTTTGTTTAAATAAAGGATATAACGAAGGTACATTATCCTTGGTTAAATCAAATAAAGTCTGCTGGGTAAACATACATGTATGAGGTACTTAGGTCTTGAAACTTCATGCTGAATCGCACGCTTGCCTTCCCGTAATAACAAAATGGCAGATCATACAGATTGTTTCTTTTTTTTTTTTTAAATGATTCGCTTTTTACCTTCCACAGTTCATGGAAAAACTGAGAAATGAATCAAATTTGATTGGTCAAAAGTTCTGTCGATATTGAAAAAGTGATATAATCGCTAATCTTATCATCTCATATTGTATCTTCTCGAATAAGTACTTTGTTTACTTTACAAGCAAAACTAGTAAAATTATATTTGTAAATCGTTTTGTCAATTTATTGCAATGTCCATTGTTCCAGTATGACTTACCTCCCTTGTACTAAGCACAAATTATACACTATCGGTCTATTTAAAATCTGTCTAGATCAAGGCATAAATCTGATGAAATGTTCATGACATTCAGGGTGTAGGCGTGGCGTACATAGTGACCGTGTCCCTAATGTGGGGACGCGAGGGCGTGCTGGACCAAGGGACGAAGCTGGTCTTTAACCAGTTTTCAATCTTTGGACTCCCCATGGGAGACCTTTCCGAAGGTGTGACCTTTACTATATTTGTAATGTTACCTCTCCATTCCATCTTCGGAGTCCTCGGACTGCTAGGTGTACTATGCAGGAACAAACTTCTCGTCTTACTGGTAAGTATTCTAAAGAACCATAGAAATAAAACTTAACTGTTTCAGAAAATATGCGATTCTGAATTTTGTGTTGTACTTTATTGTGATGTTGTTTAGCATACCCATTGTAGTTTGTTTATGATACACTTTTCTAATATTGTTTATGACACCCCTTTATGATATTGTTTATGACACCCCTTTATGATATTGTTTATGACACCCCTTTATGATATTGTTTATGACACCCCTTAATGATATTGTTTATGACACCCCTTAATGATATTGTTTATGACACCCCTTTATGATATTGTTTATGACACCCCTTTATGATATTGTTTATGACAACCTTTATGATATTGTGATATTGTTCATTGTACCCCGTTTTGTGTAAGAGAACACCCCTGCCTGTATTACAGTACACAGGATCGTATGAATGTTTATGAATACGCCTTACTGTGTCAAAATAAACCTTGTATATATGTTAATGAACATTCCCTTCTTGTGTTACAGTATACCGGTTTCCTTACACTTGTCCTCATTACTGACATCGGGTTACTTGTGTTTACCTCTATTCTACTCAACGGGGTGAGAAAGCGTTACATTAATTGGAATATTACATAATGTTCAGTTCAATACAATTTATTTAGAGAATTCTTTAACCTAAGTATAATGTCTTTGTTTATTTTCTAAAGTACGTAAATTATGTGATAAACACAATCATACATCCGGTCCGGGGGCAAGTTTGAAAAGTACATGAAACAGTACACCATGACTTTCGGTGGCTTTGGATTTGGGGGCCGAGCAACGTCTCGCATCAATCATTGCGAAACAGAAAGTAACTTTTAATCATTTCCCCTACCATGTTGTCAATGTCGGCCGTGTGTGGGAAGTATTTTCGATATGTGACATTTTTATTTTTTCGCATGAGTTACAAGGACTTTATTTTCGTTTACACATACAAACAAACACGGCATGTTATATTTTTATCTAATATTATGTTACCAAAACTTTCATCGTGGTTCAAACTATGTTGTGTCGACTTTTGTTCAAAATGTAAGTAAGCGTGCGGTTTGAGTTATTGGAAATATTTTTTCTCTTGTCGTTATAAAAGAAGCCAGCCTTTTTTAGTGCTATTACAAAAGAACAATCCATCTACATCATATAACACATAGTAATGGCTTTGCTTGAGGTCGAAACAATAAAGGTATGAGTGCATATAATACTTTTCGTCTTGACTGTAATAACTGTCTGTAAAGTCCGGTGAATGCGAAAAGGTCAAGGTAGCCCGTCCCCAATTCAATGATAACTCGATATAATGCCATGGCACAGCCAATCAGCGGCCATTTCTTTTTTTGTAATTGACATTGTTCTGATGACATGTCCGCGATGAATCAGCCATCTTTCAAGTCATCAAAGACACAGTGTACCGTCTCTTGTATGTTTCCAAAATTTTCCGGTAATCTCAAACTCAGAAGATAAATCTGGAACGGACGTATAATGAAACTCGTCACGTATTCAGCGTCTAACCTCGCCAAATACTTGCAAATGATTTTTCTTACTACATGAATTGGTGAATTTACAGGATCCTGATATGCAAAAAAACAATTCATGCCTTAGTGTACGTGAGATGTAAGTTGGTTTGTAGTGTTATGTACTGGAGTCTGTATGTTGAAGTATATGTTGTATTTCCAGTTAACGACTTGGATTACGGAAAGTTTTATAACCTCCTACTCATATTACAATACAATTTGGATCAACCCTGACCTTCAAGCAGCCTGGAACGCTTTATTTGTAAAGGTAAGAACATTTACTATCTTTTTTTCAAAACACGTGCCTTGTAACATTTATTGAAGAAAAAAAAAGATTGTTTTGGTAATGTTTTTAAAATTTCTGCAAAGTTCGAACTATCACATCAGGGAACGAAGATCAAGACATTAAATATATTGATGATTATTATGTTTTTATCCTGCAAATAATAATTCGAATTGTACATGATTAATGCTTTATCCTATTTTAACCGTAGATGGAATGTTGCGGGGTGACAGGTTCGAACAACTTCTGTTCTGGTATTCCCTACACAGTCGGATGCTGGCACAAGTACTACAGCCCTATGACTGGCTACTTATGGTCACTCTTCGCACTATTTATTGGCAGTATCATACTAGATGTAAGTATGATATACATGTAGCACAGTATAGACAAAGTCTTATATAAAAAGGAAGATAAAACAAACACACAAGCAATCAAACAAACAAATGTAGAGCATGTCATATATTTAAATATAATTTAGATTTAGTTTTATCGAAATACTGAATAAAGATTGTGATATTATGATTTACATGTAGTGAACAATAGCGCGGGATAGAATACATGTACCCATCATTTTTTTAAAAAATAAACAAAAATCCATCTTTTTCTTGATGTGTTGTGTTGTAGGTACCCGCTACAATACGTAGCAAACAATGTATCAAACTGGCATCTTAAAATTGAATTTAATTTTGAACAAAGTGTGAATTAAAAAAAGGCCTTTCTTCGATATTGCTGTAATTCAAAGTATCCGGTGTGTTACAGGTTGTAGGTATCGTGATCTCCGAATTGGCTTACCAGCGTCTGGACAGTAAACCCAAGTGCACGTCCGGCATGTATCGACAGTTCGCCAAATTTGTTTTAAGATCTTGGAAAATGTGCGTATCTTACACTCATAGGACCAGCAGATTCTCAGGACCCTGTGGTTAATGTTAGGACTAACAGATTATCAGGACCCTGTGGTTAATGTTAGGACCAGCAGATTATCAGGACCCTGTGGTTAATGTTAGGACCGACAGATTCTCAGGACCCTGTGGTTAATGTTAGGACCAGCAGATTCTCAGGACCCTGTGGTTAATGTTAGGACCGACAGATTCTCAGGACCCTGTGGTTAATGTTAGGACCAACAAATTCTCAGGACCCTGTGGTTAATGCTAGGACCAACAAATTCTCAGGACCCTGTGGTTAATGTTAGGACCAACATATTCTCGGGTCCTTGTGTTTAATATTAGGACCAACAGATTCTCAGGACCCTGGGGTTAATGTTAGGACCGACAAATTCTCAGGACCATGTGGTTAATGCTAGGACCAACAAATTCTCAGGACCCTGTGGTTAATGTTAGGACCAACATATTCTCGGGTCCTTGTGTTTAATATTAGGACCAACAGATTCTCAGGACCCTGGGGTTAATGTTAGGACCGACAGATCCCAGGGTCCTTGTGGATAATGTTAGGACCAACAGATTCTCAGGACCCTGTGGTTAATGTTAGGACCGACAGATCTCAGGACCCCGGGGTTAATGTTAGGACCGACAGATCCTAAGGTCCTTGTGGATAATGTTAGGAAAAACAGATTCTCAGGACCCTGGGGATAATGTTAGGACCGACAGATCCTAGGGTCCTTGTGGTTAATGTTAGGACCAACAGATTCTCAGGACCCTGTGGTTAATGTTAGGACCAGCAGATTCTCAGGACCCTGAGGTTAATGTTAGGACCAGCAGATTCTCGGGTCCTTGTGTTTAATATTAGGACCAACAGATTCTCAGGACCCTGGGGTTAATGTTAGGACCGACAGATTCTAGGGTCCTTGTGGTTAATGTTAGGACCAACAGATTCTCAGGACCCTGTGGTTAATGTTAGGACCAGCAGATTCTCAGGACTCTGTGGATAATGTTAGGACCGACAGATCCTAGGGTCCTTTTGGTTAATATTAGGACCAACAGATTCTCAGGACCCTGGGGTTAATGTTAGGACCGACAGATTCTAGGGTCCTTGTGGTTAATGTTAGGACCAACAGATTCTCAGGACCCTGTGGTTAATGTTAGGACCAGCAGATTCTCAGGACCCTGTGGTTAATGCTAGGACCAGAAGATTCTCCGGGCCCTGGGGTTAATGTTAGGACCAACAGATTCTCGGGTCCTTGTGATTAATATTAGGACCAACAGATTCTCAGAACCCCGTGGTTAATGTTAGGACCAACAGATTCTCAGGACCCTATGGTTAATGTTAGGACCAGCAGATTCTCAGGACCCTGTGGTTAATGTTAGGACCAACAGATTCTCAGGACCCCGGGGTTAATGTTAGGACCAACAGATCCTAGGGTCGTTGTGGTTAATGTTAGGACCAACAGATTCTCAGGACCCTGGGGTTAATGCTAGGACCAGCAGATTCTCAGGACCCTGTGGTTAATGCTAGGACCAGAAGATTCTCAGGGCCCTGGGGTTAATGTTAGGACCAACAGATTCTCAGAACCCCGTGGTTAATGTTAGGACCAGCAGATTCTCAGGACCCTGTGGTTAATGTTAGGACCAACAGATTCTCAGGACCCTGGGGTTAATGTTAGGACCGACAGATCCTAGGGTCCTTGTGGTCAATGTTAGGACCAACAGATTCTCAGGACTCTGTGGTTAATGTTAGGACCGACAGATCCTAGGGTCGTTGTGGTTAATGTTAGGACCAGCAGATTCTCAGGACCCTGTGGTTAATGTTAGGACCAGCAGATTCTCAGGACCCTGTGGTTAATGTTAGGACCAGCGAATTCTCAGGACCCCGTGGTTAATGTTAGGACCAACATATTCTCGGGTCCTTGTGTTTAATATTAGGACAAACAGATTCTCAGAACCCCGTGGTTAATGTTAGGACCAACAGATTCTCAGGACCCTGGGGTTAATGTTAGGACCGACAGATTCTAGGGTCCTGGTGGTTAATGATAGGACCAGCAGATTCTCAGGACCCTGTGGTTAATGTTAGGATCAGCAGATTCTCAGGACCCTGTGGTTAATGCTAGGACCAGCAGATTCTCAGGACCCTGTGGTTAATGTTAGGATCAACAGATTCTAGGTGGTTAATGTTAGGACCAACATATTCTTCTCAGGTCCTTGTGTTAATGTTAGGACCAAACGATTCTCAGGACCCTGTGGTTAATGTTAGGATCAACAGATTCTAGGATCCTTGTGGTTAATGTTAGGACCAACATATTCTCGGGTCCTTGTGTTTAATATTAGGACCAAACGATTCTCATGGACCCTGTCGTTAATATTAGGACCAACAGATTCTCAGGACCCTGGGGTTAATGTTAGGACCGACAGATCCTAGGGTCCTTGTGGTTAATGTTAGGACCAACAGATTCTCAGGACCCTGTGGTTAATGTTAGGACCAGCAGATTCTCAGGACCCTGTGGTTAATGGTAGGACCAGAAGATTCTCAGGACCCTGTGGTTAATGTTAGGACCAACATATTCTCGGGTCCTTGTGTTTAATATTAGGACCAACAGATTCTCAGGACCCTGGGGTTAATGTTAGGACCGACAGATTCTAGGGTCCTTGTGGTTAATGTTAGGACCAACAGATTCTAGGGTCCTTGTGGTTAATGTTAGGACCAACAGATTCTCAGGACCCTGTGGTTAATGTTAGGACCAGCAGATTCTCAGGACCCTGTGGTTAATGCTAGGACCAGCAGATTCTCAGGACCCTGTGGTTAATGTTAGGACCAACAGATTCTAGGATCCTTGTGGTTAATGTTAGGACCAACATATTCTCGGGTCCTTGTGTTTAATATTAGGACCAAACGATTCTCATGGACCCTGTCGTTAATGTTAGGACCAACAGATCTTCTGATGCTTGTGATAAATGTAATGGTCGACAAATTATCGGGTCCCTTTAGCTAATGTTAGGACCAAAAGGTTTTCAGGCTCCTGTGTTTTTTTGTCATCGATGTCACTGCTGTACAATTTAGGTTGTTTTTCAATGTTAGCTCACTACTGTGTTGTCTTTAATATGCATTATCGGTAATTCCGTTTGATCTGAATCGTTATTAATATTACGACATTGGAAGTTATTCAAGAAGTTGTTTGTATTGAAACATTCGTAGGTTGTCCACTTTTACATCCTTAAATGATTGCACATTCACTTGATTTTATTTGTACATTCTCAACTTAGTATCATACCTATCCGAAGTATGTTTAAATTACAGCCAAACCTCGTTATCTCAAACTCGTATAACTGAAAGATCCCATTCAATTCGAGTATTTCGTCTGTCTCGGTCAAAATTTTCACCAAACAATCAATCGTTCTCACTTAAATAGAATATTCGGATAACTCGAAGTGTTCAAACAGTCTCGCCGACTTCGAAATAACAAAGCTCGACTGTAGTTGATTCATCGTGTTGACTCTATTTTGTTTTCTCTCCAGGAACAAAGGCAAAGTCATCTTCGCCATAATAACAGTCATAGATACGGTAAGTCATGTGATTACAATCATAGATAGGTAAGGCACGTGATTGCAGTCATAGATACTGTTAGTCATGTGATTACAATAGCACATATGGTTAGTTATATGATCAGTCACAGAAAATGTAAGTCATGTGATCGCAGTCATACATGAAGACGCAGTTTTAAATTCTCAACTAATAACCTATATTATTTGTTTTAGATGGCTGGGCTTGGCCTGATTGTCGCTGGAGTTGTTACGCTACGGAGTGACTTTGTTTCGAACAGCTATCTCACTCCCCTGTTTGGAAATCTACGCTTCTACAACATGTACCTTCCTGACCTGATGCTTGGGCTGGGTATAACTATGATTACCACTGGCGTTTTCAACACAGGAACTTGTTCTCTAGCATTAAACATCATTTGTTTCAAAACGAAATCAAAGATTAATGTTGTGAGTTGAATACTGGATATGTACCTCTTGCAATACTTTGATAAAGTTACTGCATTATATCGTAAATATATATCGTGAAGCATAATATACATTTGCTTAACAAAGATTATACTGTAGTCTGTTATCGAATTTATAAACTTATTTTGATGTGTGCTGTAAATTTGGCATTGCTTAAAATACCAATCATACATGCTGTGTTCTCTGAGTTAGCTGTGTGGTGTTTTGTATTGGGTAGTGCTGTCGCTAAGTTTGATGTCATCTGACCCTGAAGTGTTAATATAATCAGAAACATAAAGCGTGCATCATCCGCCGTCTGCCATCGAATGTAAACATGATGATACTGACCATGTGTTCCTATTTTTCAATCAGGTCTGAATCCAAGTTTGCCATCATAACTGCCATGTTAAATAAAACACATTGGTAAAACTTATTCATTTCCACTGGTGCCACTGAGCTGAACAGCGGTGGGAATGTTGATACAAACAATGTGTTTTTTTCTTTTCAAGCTCTGTCAACAAAATAAATGTTGTTATAACACAACCAGCAGAAGACCAAAGTATTGGATTATAGAAAAAATAGACGCACATGGACCAATTCTTCAATATCCGATCACATCACTCCTTACCCCGGTTTTGGCGTTGTATGAGTTTTGCTCAACATGTTTTAAACGATTGTTACAAATGAACAAGATCCATTGTTATCATTATCTATGCCAAGACTTCACTCTAACATGACCCGATGTTGTAGCCTTCCTTGTCATGTCCTGAAGCTGTCATGGCCTGATGATGTGAATTTCCATGTCATGTCCCGGGGCTTCGTGACCCGATGTTGTAAATTTAGATGTCATGTCCTGAAGCTGTCCTGGACCCATGTTGTAAATGTTAGAGTATTGCACGACCGTGGAAATGACTACGCGGTACTCATATGCATTAAAATAAGTCTTTGTTTTCTCTTACGTCGAGAAAATATCCCTTTTTCTTCCAACAAACTTCTACAACATTAATCCTGTGGCGTTTTACATTTTAGTTATCGTTTAACGAATTCCTCTTCTTAAATCATAGCGACACGATGCTTATGTTTATATAAATCCTCATACTATGCAATATTGTAAATATGTTGCAGGCCCGACTCCTTTATTTCACTATGATTGTGGTTAACATAACAGCGTTGGTCTTCTGGTCCATTATGTTGTACGGAGTAAGTACCTATATAACCGATCTTATAGTCTATTTCTTTCAGTGGAATTCATTCATGAAACCAAGTGTAATGTTATCGTTGGATAGATTTAGGTCAATAATCTATCATAGAGTTCAACTGTACCCGTTGTTATCATTATTTCTATTCCTCCAACCAAATAAAGAAGTCAAAATATTGAAAACGTCTACTTTATATGCAGGTACGTGCTTTGATGGAGTTTCAGCTTTATAAAGAATTTTTGGGGTACGATAGTACCTATGACAGCGGAGATTATTACACAAATTCATGGAGAGCCCTTTTTGTCACTGTAAGTAATTGGTTTGATTCACAGAAATAAGACTTCTACTATTAAAGTAGGTCACTTGTCTTAACATTTGTCCTTCTTAAGTTGCCTTCGCCATTGTCGTTCCTGAATGGTCTTGACCATTGTCCTCTCTGAATTGTCGACACTGCCTAATTGAATTGTCTTTGCCACTGACCTCCCTGAACTGTTTTTGCCACAGTTGTGACTGCATTGCCGTCACCAAAGCCCCCCACCAATACCCCATGATTTATCATTATCTTTACAAGTGCCCTTCCTCTGTATTGTCTTCGCCAACGTTCTCAGTAAATTACTTCCGCTACTATCATTCCTGATTGTCTTCTCTATTGCCCTTCCTGCAACTTTACACTCTAAATTATCGTTACAACTATCCTCAATGAGCTGGCCTTGCTACTTTGTCTCGCTCTCCTTAGTGTTTTGCCGAAATATTTCGCTCTAATTGTATTGTCTGTCTCTCTTCCTTCTTGCATTGTGATTCATTCTGTCCTTTCTTAATGATATGTTTCTTTCTCCGCCCGGCATTTTCGATGTCACCAACATACCAGCATACTTTAATTTATTCAAAAGAAATAACACATAACTTGATGCGTTGTCACATTTGATTGAACTATGAATGCTGTATTACAGAACACTTTAACTGCTCGTTACGTTCTATCTCGAACCTGTTAATTTTCATAACCTACATACAAATATTTGTTAATGGTTTGTGCGTTTTCTAGTTTAAATGCTGTAGGATCTATGGCCTGTGGTTTACCAGTATGCCATTAAGTGCTGGAGTACCAGAGCAGTGTCTATACGAAAGAACCCCTGTCAACTCTAACTTAAACTACGTTGGAGTCACAGTGGCAACAGGCGATATCGTTCAAGAGGTTAGTCGTTCCTGGTCTGGACATTCCCCTTATTGTTTTTGTTACAGAAGAACGTTTTCTTAATGTATCCGTTGACACTTTTGTTTTAATAAAAGTACAAATGTTTGTTTTAATTGGATTGAAATAATTACATGTATATTTGTCAAATTTATATTGAAGCTCTTATGATTTATTTCAAGGTTTGCCAGGAGAAATTGGCGGACGAAATCTACAAATATCAGGTGGCTGTGGCTGTTCTGTTCGGGATAGCTATTCTTTCTAAAGTAAGTATCAATCGTGTCTTAATGGCGACATAGTTTATATATGTGTTTAGTATAACCTTATTGATGCTTGTTTCTATTAAAGTTGATATTTAATCTACCATATTTGTAGCTTGGGAAGATAGTCTTCTCTACTTTAAAAACCGATGTTGCGCTGCACTTGTAAATGAGTTACTATGAATGAAATGGACCGCTCTCTGACAACGTCTACACTGTGTAATTATTGTTGTACATATATTTTAATGTATAAATATGAGACAAGAATGATAATTCACATTTAATTAACTGAGACCGATGGTGTTTTCTGTTTTAGTAAATGTTTTCTGTTCTGATCTCCTGTTACTTGGTTGGCAATGCGATAACGATATCTCTCAGACAATATGTAATTATTCTGATATAGGTTTGTGGTTTCTTATATAGCAAATATATTATGTGGGTAAAAGATATGAAGAAAATGGAGCAAGATATTATTAAGGTGTAAGATAAGTATGTAAATCGTGTCAATTATTTGTGCCAACTGAACTGACTTGATGTTGGTCATATCTCTGATAATCAAACAGCCTCTGTTGAAAACTAAATGTTAAAATGTGTACTTACAAGTTCTTTTATATGTTGTGACAGGTCTATGCAATAGGATACCTGTTCACCAAGGACAATCAGACAGGTGATGGAATGCCGTTCTCTGTCACTCTTAACCAACTGAGAAGGTCAGTCTGTAATGATTTTGATGTTGAAAGATTTCTCTAAGATAGTTTAATAATTTGTAAACTACAACCATAACGAATGCCCTGATATGAATGCTTATTTATGTTTATATATTTGTCAAATTTGTCCTTAATAGTTAGCGCGTTCTTCCTGTTAATTTTGAGGAAGTGAAGTACTACTTAAACTTCTTTTTCTAGTAAACAACCAAGCCAATTTAATTCTCAAAACAAAATTCCAACAATATGTGGCAATTAATAGTTCAGTCGTGTACGTTCCAAGTAATTATTTAAAGATCTTAATTTAAGTAAGTTAAGTTGTTCAACAAATTAAACTGCCAAAACAATCCAATTGATATCCTCCTATGATAAACATTCTAAAATTATCATCAATTTAATATTCCGTCAAATATATATATGTGTGTGTGTGTGTGTGTGTGTGTGTGTGTGTGAGAGAGAGAGAGAGAGAGAGAGAGAGAGAGAGAGAGAGAGGGTGTTTGTGTGTGTGTGTGTGTGTGTGTGAATATTCTCTTATAAATATTAAATATTATAATTGGTTCTCGGTAATTATTACAGGAACATTTGATCGGAATATTAAATAATTAAGCCCGTATGATACAACGAAATACGTTCCTTGTGAATCGTTAAACTAAATAGAATCACTTAGACTACACCCCTGCTCATTTAGGCGGGAATGTATTGAATCTAGCCCCGTCTTTCCGTCCTGTCATCACTTTAGAAGCTGTATTGGTGGGTGTGTTTAGTACATAGAAATATTAGAGTTCCATATTGGGCACGAACGACACCTGTCGAGGGTCAAGGTCACTGTGTTTTAAACAGACTTTCCATTCACAAAACCCTTGTTTAGGGACAGATGATCCTATATGCTGCAGCTATGTTCTTACATTTTGTTCATGTTTTGCAAATGTATCAGTATAAGTATGTCTTGAAGAGAGATAATAAGCAACTAAACAGTACGACGTCTTGAAAGAACGCACAATACAAATGTATTGAACAACTGCATGATGGAGTTTAATTACTAATATGTTAAATTATTAAACTGCATCATGCAGTCGTCCTTTCCCTTTAGAAAGCGTCATTATGCTAGCGGATTTAAGGTTTGATATGTATGTTAGGCGAGTTTAAAAATAAAAAATGTATCAAACAACAAACAATATTGACAGGAAAATGCTTGAAAGTTAGAATATTTATATTTTAGTGGTGATTTTCACAGAACACCAAAAACATTTTTCCTAATACATAAATTCCCATATACAACCAGATTTAATTTACAAGTGTAATGCGGTTGTGCAATTATTGCATTGATGTGGTGGAACTGCTGAAGCGAACGAATTTGGATTTTACTGGAAATAACTTAAATAACACTATTTTAAGGTGACCTTGTCCCAAAACAATCCAGTCATCTTTATTTCCATCAGTCAATTAATGCATTGTTTAATACTAGAAACTTGTACTTGATGGAGGTGTTTTGTTTCAGGAAGTATGAAATTCTTACCGCAAACACTAGCAATAAAATGATCCGTTCATGACCTAGAGGTGGTATTGTAGAATACAGATGCTATTTCCCAGGTTTTGTTATACCGAGAGGATATAACATCAAACCAAACATGATTCGTTTATTTCAGGAAGAAGAAAGTAGTGGCATTAGTCTGCGTTCTTGTAACAGGATTTGTAAGTAATCATTGATTATTTTAATGGGGTTCTGTAAATATTGTATATATTGTCCATGGAATAAACTGCTTACAGATTTCTGGCTTAATTTTCGTCACAGATGACAGCTTGGTTCTGTACATCTGGCGCCAAATACAGAATAGCACTATGCTTTGACGACAATAACGAGATAGTAATATGGTCAATTACAGTAAGAGACAGTGCTCTGAATCCGACAATAGATGGACACAGTGGTCAGAGCCCGAGAAGTGGCAGGGACTGTGATAAGATTTTGGTACTGCGAAATAAAAACGAAAAATCTGTTCAAAAATGAAATATGAATATGTTCAAGTTGTGATTGTTCTATATAACACGTGGGAAATATATGTTTGACGATGGTATCACAATAGCCATGCTGACGAGATGTAAATTAGGTCGGTAGTTCATGAGGTCGTGTAAAGATATATATGAATATATGGAATTTGAATACCACTTATAGTTGGATGTGATTAACTACTTTTCATTTAATTTGATAAAGACAGACGCAATCTGCAATAGTATAACTGCACAGTTGAATATGTATGTACATCTGTTATTTTCTTATGTAGCTGGTTTCCTTGGGTATCCTGATAACGGGGGCTATACTTAAGTTCGACAACGTATTTGGCCACAAGGATATCCAACACCTATTCGTCCATGTATATGTAAGCGGGAGTAGCTTGTTCTTCTGGATGCTTGCCTTATCCAATTACTTGGTAATCATGGGCTGTGTGACTTTCTTGCTGTTTGGATTTGCTTGTTTGTCGGCAATATTTCGTCTACCAACATTTTATATAATGGTGAGCAAAACAGGAAGTAATTCCTCATGATAATAATAATTCTTTCAATTTTTCTTGAACAACAGTAAAAATGAAAATATATCCTATTAAGAAATTAGTGCCATAACCATGGTTCATCCCCACGACCCCTGCCATCCTTTTGTTTATTCCTACTTTATCCTTGCTCAGGTCGATTGTGCAATTGTCTCCTTATTCTATGGTTCCTGCGCAATACCCTATATTTTTGTGCGTGCCTAATTTACTTGGGCCCGGTCCATTGTGTAATTGTTACTCTGTTTTTACAGACCTTGATTGGCTTCCTTGTATCTGTTGTCGTCAAAATCCTCGCCATATGTGTTTGGATCAAAGTGAGGATAGAGGTAAGACAACTATCGTTGTTATTTCATTATTTTCAACAGCCAAAACTAAACATGTCTCAGGCGACAGTTAGGCATAGATAACTTTTCGTTTTGACGTACTTCCAATATGAATATTGCGAATTACATCTGTATTGTGTCGGAACATTTTCCAATAGTTTGCTTAGTGATACATTTGCATTGATGCAACATATCCTCAAACCATGGCAAATCAGGAACTTAACTCGTGTGTTAGATAGAAGAAATATGGAGAAACAGTCGGATGAGGTCATGATACCGTTTTCGAACATCTATGAAAACTTAACTGAAACTGAAATGTTCTATGATGAGAATAATTATTCAAAAGAAATATAACCTCTTTATAAACATGGAATATCAAGGCACTTATTGGTGCTCTTGACTTCAAAAGAAAAAAATAAGTGATGGAGCGTCATAAAATCCGTAGTACAGCAAATGTTTAAGTGTTGGTATAAAACAAAACGAAGAATTTCAAGACTAGACAACATTATCAACACCACATATTATAAAATAATCAGCGCGCGCATATGATTAAGTAAAAAATCAAGTCGGACGAATGAATAAATTATATATTTTTTTTATTAATTATTATTTAATTGATTATTACTGAAAATTTTATTTCAAACAGTTATCAAAGTTAACATCGATGTATCTCTATTCATGTTACTTTTCTGTATTTTACATTTAAGAAAACACCACTTTCACTTCAAAGTTTTAATTTAATCATTCCCTACCAGGTTCATGGCTCGTGCACACTAATATAGTAGAAATGTATCACCCCGACATCATAATGTTTTGTTTTTTTTTTCAAATGCACTTTGTGTTAAGTCACTCGACTGGGATATGGAGCAGCATTTACATCGGTATCGCAACCTTAATATGTTGTGTATGTGATACCAAATCTATATCACTGAAGAGAGCATTGTTCAAACAATTCAAAAAATACTGTCCAACTGATATTTGGTTTGTGATTTGAATATAAAAGAATGATTTAACCATGCAACGAGGCGAAATAATGACAATATTTGCATGTAAAAATGTGGTATTCGGTGAATTTGTCCTAGAAATTATTCAGGTGAACACTGCAAATCAGATTAATGAATTCTGTGTATTGTTAATACATTTGCTTCCATTTCTATAAAGACTTAAAGTTTGCAAATGTTACTTAAAAGGAATGGAAATCTTTTGTGTTATTCGTACGGGCATTTATGACAACGGCCGTAGCAACAAATAAAAAGTTTAAGTTATAGAAATCCTTCGATAGTCTGTCCAAAAAGGCACGGAGATGCTGTATCGATACTAGAAATATGCTCTAAATTCAAGTGTATGACAACAACCTGCGGTACAGATTTATAACATTGCTCTCGGAATGTCCACTACCATACATAGAAAAATAGAAAGTTACTGCATCCAACGAGACGAGTCGATTGGCTCTCGAAGTCGTGACGTCATAGATTCTGGCATTTGTTTCATGATATACTTTGCAAGGATACCTTAACAAGTACAACATTATTGTTGAAATGCGTCAATAATTTCCTTGATTTGCTTACAATTATTTATATTTTGTTTCAAATTACATAGAAATATGCATGTTGAAGAAATGCAAAATGCTTGTTTTCTTCTTTCAGATTGATTGGCATCTAGGGAATGAAATGTTGTCAGCTTTACGGAACTATTACAAAACAGATAATTCAGACAACAGTCTTTATTACAGTGACACCAATCTAGGTTTTAACTTTCTTTTTTATGAAGTAAGTGTATATTGTCAGCCTGTAGTATGATACACTCTGCGTCGATTAGAAGCATTGCTATTTAACTAAATTTATTGATATTTAGTGCTGCATGGCAGTTTATAGCTGATGCTATTAAGCAATCATTAAACTTGGTTCTGCAGCATGTGGTGACTGATGAAATAATCATATATATCTTAAATTGATTTTGTTTCTCGCTTGAACTGTTTGTACGGCGACCTATGATTACCGACTGTATGGATCAGAAGATTCATTTCTTAACAAGTTAAAAGGAAAGTAATTTTAACCTAACATCCTGTAGTTGGTAAAATAAAAATCTACGATGGAAAGTATTAGATAAGCGAGATGCGTAATTTCACACTGTCCTTTTAACATCTTAGTACCATGTTAAACAAACATTTGGATGAAAATTGAAAACCAACATATCCAAAAACAATTACAGTCATGAAATTGATACCGAAAGCAATATGTTGGCACTTATAAATAATAAGTAATAGTACTTGATAAAAGAATATTATTTGATATATTGATGGACCCGTTTTTCTGATTACGTATAGTTAGAACCTGCTTTAAGTCATCAGAACATGAAAAAAAATATTGCAATTTCAACGACAAGAAAAGCAAACTTAAATCAGGGCAACAATAATTACTTTCCATCGAGATGAAGATAGGTTTCCACATGTAACATATGTCCGTTATAAATAATGTTAGTGTCATACGATTTACACCTCTTGTCATAAAAACAAAAAGAAAATACCAACATATCAACGTATTCATAATTCAATAAAAGTAGGGCAAAATAAGAAAAAAAAAAAAAAAATACACGGAGACTCCAGAAAAAAGCACAAGAAGAATAAAACCAGGTGTACCGGAAAAGTAAAGCGTTTTCTGCTTCATCAACGATTTTGGTGAATACAAGTAAGCAATGGTATGTTCTCTAACAGAATATTTCTTAGTGCGATCACTACTGCGACCGTAAAACTTCCCCATAATTTTTATCTTTCGAAATCCTGTGTTGCGAGGTTGTACGTCTGTTGACGACTTCTTGCACGAAAATAATGATAATGTTTAACAAGCTCTTGAATATCGAATAAACTGCGACATGTAATAAAATGAGTCGATGATGCAGATTTGTTACTATCCAGAAATGGAAAATTCACAGGAGGAATATTGAAATCATCCCGATTATTATACAGCTTGGTTGAAATCTGTTCATGTTGGTTTCATTAAGACTTAAGATAATATTTTTACATTAGTTTTAGAATTCTTTAACGTAATAATTGAAATATTCATGCAAGGAAATTGACCTAGTTTTACACTTTTTTAAATACAACTTATACTTACCATCTTACAGAGTTTTATTTATTTTGTAGGGGGATTGTTGTGGCATCAATTCAATTGAAGATTTAAGATCTTTCACCTGGGCATCAAGCTTTACATATCCGTCAAACCCGGTAACGTGTCATTTGACGATCGATACTGTGAGATGGTATACAAACAGAGAAGTATCGACGTTCAAAAACACTGTCTACACTGACGTAAGAGTTATACTACATGTTGAAAAGATATTTAAAAAACACAGAAAGACAACCAAGGAGTTGACAGCTGCAGTAGACAAATTTCGAACAACAGAATAATTATAATAAAATAAAGTAACTTTTCAAAACAAAATTGCAAAAAGTCAAAAGCGTTGTGCTTCACTTCATATACGTATTGTTTCAAACATTGCCTGTAAAGCACACATCGCTTTGATTAGTGTTTTTATTTTATCAATAAAACAGATATAAACTATCTGTGCAATTAAAAAACTATCATAAAACTTGAGCTTGTTAGGCGATGTTAATGTTAATGGAACCTTATAGTAAGGCTGTGGTATACCACTATCTTTGCGCTGAATTGATTTTTCAGGGATGTGGTGGTGTGGTGAAGGACTCCATACACAAATATGACGTCACAGGTATTGTCCTATTGTTGCTGGCCCTTATGCTGGAGGTAAGAAAATAATTGCTACAATCCTTTGAATTTTTACCATATGGCCACGATTTTACTATAGAGATGTGTTTGGAGTTATAATAGTCCATGAAAACATTTCAGATACTGCTTCATTCCAAGACGATTGCGGTTTAGATAAGTTTTATAAAAGCCATAGGTAAGCCTGTTTTAGGTCTTGGTACATCCCGTGGTTAGTGCGTGTACGATCGGGTTTATTGAATTTTAATAGAATTCTTGTGACAATCTAATAATTAATCAACACTGGTTACGATCAATACATTACAGTAAAGCGGAGATTTTCCATTTCATAATCTCTGTAAGAGTTGTCTTACTTAAAATGTAATTGCAATATACTCATAAAGAAACCGGTATTATCAATGCAAGTTCTGTGATTTGATTGATTGGAAATGACTGATTGTTTTGTCGGTGTAAACATCAATTATGTACTTATGTTTTGACTATATAAACTTATATTTCACTGTCACAAAATCGTTCTTGTCACATCCCCCATTATATCCATTTTCGTTCTGGTTCTTGTTAAAGAAACTGGATAGATGTGCTTTCATTCTTGATGCTTTAGAATGTGTTGCTCCTTTATTAGTTTCTAACCTTGACACTGTAATATGATTGGCCCTATCTGTGGATATTAATCTTTAATATGTTTTCAGTGACCTTGAGACCGATTATCATGGTAGTTTATTACGGACAAGGCATTATCGTTGCCATTGTATACTATGTTGCCGTTGGCACTGAGTCGTGCAATGTTATATCAACAATTGCATTCATGATACTAATTATTGTCATCATAGAGCACTGCAAACCACCCCTATCTTACAAAGATTTTATTGAATAGTATGCATTTTCAAAAAGGAACATATAGTGGCAATCAGAAGCCTCGACAATGTCTCTCCTTAATCCTACTCGTTCGTTAAGTTGTTTTTAGGACGAAATATCGTATGTATTATCCTTTGTTAGATAACAACGATGGTGTTGCTGGACCGACGGTACAAACGGACAGTATCACCTGATCAAATGAGAGGTGCTTTCTCTACATTTATACACCACGTTAAAGGAAACAGGTCAGTGAATGATATCTTTTTGCAATCAATATTAAGCAAATAGATAAATACTAGTGTCGTTTTTAAACAAGGTGTGGTTACATTGACATGGTCTTGTTTTTTCAATCAACATTAAGCTACTCGCGCCATTAATTTAGTGTAAACTAAATGCAATATTGTTTAATTCTAAAATCAATTGTCATACATGATACTTAAAAGGCCACGATAGTATGTTTTGTGAAAACTTGAGATATAGGGTTGTTTCTGAACATTTGAGTAGCACTATTTGTGATAAAACTGGAAATATTTGTCAAGTAAAGGATATTTAAATGCAGAAATCAATGTCATTTTTATTGATTTTGTTCAGAGAGGGTAAATGTCAATGTCATTCATTGAGATCAGACTCGCGCATCTATCAAGACGATTGCTATTTACTAGGTGATATTAAAGACAGTTGTTGATAACAGATATGTGGAGACAATTTCTTATCTTTTCAACACAGCTTTCGAGGCAGCACTTTTTAAGTAAACCGAACTTGTCGAGACGATGATTGTTGTATACATGAATTACAGACTTATTCAGATTCCTATTTTACTATATATTTCGGCAGCTTCATTAAAAGTTGATAACGACTCGAATTAGTGTTTGAAACGCCGTTTCTGACGCTCGGAAAATACATGAATCGTAAAAACATTTGAAGATTTTACAAAAGTAAAACAGGTGAATAACACCGCTTTATACAAATTTAGAATTGTACTGCTGTTTCGTCGTTCTAGGATTCATAGATGATGCTATGGGCCTAATATCTACGCGACTGTGGAAAATCAAAAGGGATAAAATAAAGTTAAGCACCATAATTCAATAAATCTTATAGTTTTCTAAAATCTGATGATTTCAGAAAAAGATCAATTATATGTCTGAAGAGTGCACTAATTGCATGAATTGAAACACAACGTACATGTTCCGGGCAACCTCTGAGACTTGCAGTGTACCAGGGTTCACCTGCTATTAACTGATTGAGGTTTAAGAACAGGAATCGGTATTTTACAATGTATTTTGGTTTTCATAATGAATGTACGAGTATTTAAAATATTTTTGATTTGTTATTTTGTTACAGAGTAAATTCGAGGAGCGGCCTGCCTGGCCTAACTGCCAAAATATTAGCATTTGTCAGTCTCACTGCTTTCCTGATGGTAAGGCATAATCTTTTGAACTTTTCAAAATATTTGACGTTTTCTGTCAACAGTCTATATAAACAGAGAAAAATACATTTCTTTTGCATAAATTTCTTTCTCTTTAAGTTTGCAGAAATACTTCTGTGGATTGGTGTACTGTTAGGGACATTTGCACCAGGCTACCTGAAAAATGGATTCTTTGACAATCTCAACATTGCCGAGGAAAACTTTAACGATAAACCACCACACCTGGGTTACCTCATATATGGGTTTCTCATCGCTGTGTTTGTCATGGAGCTTGTGTTTGTTTTTATACACGTTCTCACCATATTCGCTATCAGAGCACTTCAAAAAGGGTATATCCATATGGTAAATACACACAACTGGATACCTGTGATACTCTTCAATGTTATTACTATGTAATGAAATTTCAATTTTCCCGGGAGTTTAATCGTCTGCTTATTGATTATAATGTCTATCATTGCTCTTTAAACTGACACTAATGAATTAGCTCATTTATTAGAAATTCCTTTAGACGCACACTCGTTTATAAGCGTCGACCGATAAAACAAGTATGCTATTTTTGTAAATATTTGCTGTTATACATATATTTGTTTTTGTTTTAGTCCGCTGTTTTGCTGGCTCTTATGATATTATGTGACATAGTGACCCTTTCCATTGCGTCAGTTCTGCTTGATAAGGTAAGAGCACTTACATTTTGGGACTTGTTTCCCACTATGTTCCTGTTTCCTATGGTAAACTTGTACATGTATTTATATCGGTAACCAGTAACCTTCCTAATATCATTGCCCACTGTCATGATTTATCATCCTTCCACTAAAAAGGATGAAATCTAGCCTTGCTTTTAATGTAAATAATTATCATTAAAGGTAAAAGGTAAAAAAATTATAAAACATATGACCTTGTCCCTTTAAGTTCTTTTTTACTGATAAGATATTACTTATCAATAGACTTTCTCTTTGTAATCCATATTGGATCAGTTTTAAACTTGTTTTCATTGCTATTTTTTTTATAATAAAATATTCGTTTTTCATAAAGGCGGGGTACAACTGTAAAGGATACTTTGGTTCGTCGGTAAGTCAAACAATTGTGTGCTTTCCTATAGCCTAATAACATCACGGTTATCATGCACGTACTGCAATTTTTCCCACTTGAGCTCGGAAACAAGGGAGACAATTACTGTAACATGGAATTTTGATTTTTTTTTTTTTTTTGAGAAATGCATAACGCCATTCATTTCATTTTGCTAAAGTTGAGATATAAAGTAAACTTTTTATCTTATTTGTATTTTCTTTTTAAATTTTACATGTATTAAAGCACTATTCTAAGACAATCTTGTATGTTGGAATTTTGGTTGTCAAGAATAATGAACGTTGATTGCTTACACCTACAGACTTTTTGTGATGTCAATGCCTGGACAGTATTCCCCATGACTGGAGTGTTTATTGGATTTAATGTCGTGCATATTCTAATCCTCGTAAGTAACTAATATTGATAAATACTTTAATCTAAAATCGATGTTTTAATACTCATTTTTCAATGACATTTTTGTCATTCGTATGATATATATTGATTTACGTTTTCAAAGTTTGTTTATTAATTAACCATTTCAATTTTTACTGACGTCATACTTGTTGAAACTATTGATGTTCGCTACAGTGTTCAGCAATGAATCTGTCAGCGCTAATTAGCCTATGTAAGTAAATTGGGGGATAATATCTCTTGAAGAGACTATTATCTACCATTTTCGTTGATATTTTAAGTAAACTATGTTGTTGAGTGTTGCGGTCCTAATACTTGACTTTTCTCTGATTAGTGACTTTGAACATAAATCAGTAACTGTGCATAGTTATCGAATAAATCAGAACTACATTTCATTATGTTAGTGATCATCTCTTAGTTTTTTTTTTTAATTCCGTAGACATATTTTGATTTTCCTAACTTTAAGATTTCCATTCTTTTTGTATTTTTACAAAATTTCTGCCTTTAATAACGCCGCATTAATGTAATCCAATTGGATTTAATGAAATGCATACGAATAGTAACAATGATTTACAACATACATCCTTCTTCTGTAATGTTTCAAAATAAACTCTTACCCAGAAAATTTAAGTTTAAAGCTAGTAAACCTTCTCGTCGAAAATTTTGCATTTGATCCGTATCATTTCGTTATTTGTTCTAGCGTGGTTTCCACACGTTTGCCTCGTAACATCACTAGGCATTTTTTTCATAATCCTTTGTCATTTGTTAAGCATATTTTTTGTCAATTTGGTCTTCAGTTGTGCCAATCTTCAAATAGGTAATCTTGCTTAGTCGTCTTGTACATTGTTTACAACAATTTTCAATATTCTTTATTACGACAAGAAATATTATTATGTCTTCATTTATCATACTAATTTATTATCAAGGATGTATTTGCAATGCATATAATGTTGTCCTGGGCCATGTCACTTTCATTGAGACAGCACATTTTTTAATGAATGACAATTTTCCTGTTACAGTGTATATTAATTGGCTTGGGGCTACACGTCAGTAAGAGTGCTCTGTCCATTACGTTAGTAGTACCAGTAGAAGAACTTTCTGGACTGGATGATGTATCACATTCTCAGTCGATCAGCACGTCGGTGGCGAACACCAATAGTCGACGGACTTCTATAAATAGATATGACCGTCGTACATCCAACATTCAATCTAATAAACGTCCATTGTCGATTGTAACTACATCCAATGTCTCCAATGAAAGCCACAAATTTAAAACTGTAAGCATAACAGACCAACGGACATCTTTAGATGAGCCGACCACAGACCGGCGAACATCTGTAGCTGAATCAACCACAGACCGGGAAACATCTGTAGCTGAATCAACCACAGACCGGCGAACATCTGTAGCTGAATCAACCACAGACCGGCGAACATCTGTAGCTGAATCAACCACAGACCGGCGAACATCTGTAGCTGAATCAACCACAGACCGGGAAACATCTGTAGCTGAATCAACCACAGACCGGCGAACATCTGTAGCTGAATCAACCACAGACCGGCGAACATCTGTAGCTGAACCAACCACAGACCGGCGAACATCTGTAGCTGAACCGACCACAGACCGGCGAACATCAGTAACTGAACCAACCACAGACCGGCGAACATCTGTAGCTGAATCAACCACAGACCGGCGAACATCTGTAGCTGAACCAACCACAGACCGGCGAACATCTACAGATGAGCCGACCATAGACCGGCGAACATCTATAGCTGAATCAACCACAGACCGGCGAACATCTGTAGCTGAACCAACCACAGACCGGCGAACATCTGTAGCTGAACCAACCACAGACAGGCGAACATCTGTAGCTGAACCAACCACAGACCGGCGAAAATCGGTAGCTGAACCAACCACAGACCAACGAACATCTACAGATGAGCCGACCACAGACCGGCGAACATCAGTAACTGAACCAACCACAGACCGGCGAACATCTGTAGCTGAACCAACCACAGACCGGCGATCATCTGTAGCTGAACCAACCACAGACAGGCAAACATCTGTAGCTGAACCAACCACAGACCGGCGATCATCTGTAGCTGAACCAACCACAGACAGGCAAACATCTGTAGCTGAACCAACCACAGACAGGCAAACATCTGTAGCTGAACCGACCACAGACCGGCGAACATCTGTAGCTGAATCAACCATAGATTAACAAACATCTCTAGCTGAGCTGACAACAGACCAGAGAATATCTATAGCTGAACCAACAACAGAGCAACGAACATCTTCAGCTGAGCCGACAACAGACCAGAGAATATCTATAGCCGAATCTGCCGCAGACCACCGACCATTGGTTACCTCCATTACTAAATCGGTTGGGGCCCGACCCGTAGTGTCTTCTGACAATGATCTGGAAACATAATATTGATGACGTCAGTTTATTTATATCATGATCAGAGTTTCGTTCAACATTGTGTTAACTCATTCCCTAGGATCTGTAGTCACTTCTCTTTGGGGACTGAGTAATTTTACATTATAAAGGCAACATTCAATAAGTAACACAATTTATTGATAAGAAGGTACATGGGGGTAAAGATTGTCATTTCGACGGAAATTTTAGTCTGTTTATGTGCTTTATTCTTTTCCTGGCGTTTTAAAAATTCTTTTTGTAAAGATACATGCAGAGCTAATGTGATACTAAAAGCAGTATTATTATTCTAAACTGAATATTTTAATTCTGTCATAACAAATTGGAAATTACCTTTGCAATATTTGAATAAAGAATCGTAGTTCGTACGACTCACAAAACGTAGATTGCTAGAATGCTTACATCACTGAAAATATCAACGAACAGCGAAAATAGAAATAGAAATTTTCTTTTTCTGTGATTAAATGAAATATCCATAGTTGCCTTTATCATGAGAAGTCGAGTTCCATATTAAGTCCCACATTGTAGTCATAGAAAGGAAATGTAAACATGTTTCCTTTGCGAACACCTTTTGCCTTGAAATACATATTTTAAGCGTAAAACTCTACACAACTAGTTCTACAAGTGATATGTATAAAACAAACCCAAATGTTTGGCTATATACTCGTGTAACAGGTTATATGAAGAAGAAAAGCACATGTTTGGCTATCTGCCTGTGTAACAAAGTGATATGAAGAGAACACATGTTTGGCTATCTGCCTGTGTAATAAGTGATATAGAATAGAAAAACACATGTTTGGCTATCTACCCGTGTAACAAAGTGATATGAAGAGAAAAACACATGTTTGGCTATCTACCTGTGTAACAAAGTGATATGAAGAGAACACATGTTTGGCTATCTGCCTGTGTAATAAGTGATATAGAATAGAAAAACACATGTTTGGCTATCTACCCGTGTAACAAAGTGATATGAAGAGAAAAACACATGTTTGGCTATCTACCTTTGTAATAAGTGATATAAGAGAACACATGTTTGGCTATCTGAAATAAACACATGTTTGGCAATATGCCCGTGTAACAAAGTGATATGAATAAGCAAAATACATGTTTTGCTATATGCCTGTGTAACAAAGTGATATGAAGAGAACACATGTTTGGCTATCTGCCTGTGTAATAAGTGATATAGAATAGAAAAACACATGTTTGGCTATCTACCTGTGTAACAAAGTGATATGAAGAGAAGAACACATGTTTGGCTATCTACCTGTGTAATAAGTGATATAGAATAGAAAAACACATGTTTGGCAATATGCCCGTGTAACAAAGTGATATGAATAAGCAAAATACATGTTTTGCTATATGAACAAAGTGATATGAAGAGAAAAACACATGTTTGGCTATCTGCCTGTGTAACAAAGTGATATAAAGAGAAAAACACATGTTTGGCTATATGCCAGTGTAACAAAGTGATATGAAGAGAAAAACACATGTTTGGCTATCTGCCTGTGTAATAAGTGATATAGAATAGAAAAACACATGTTTGGCTATCTACCTGTGTAACAAAGTGATATGAAGAGAAAAACACATGTTTGGCTATCTGCCTTTGTAATAAGTGATATAGATAATAAAAACACATGTTTTGACTATCTACCCGGGTAACAAAGTGATATGAAAAGAAGAACACATGTTTGGCTATCTGCCTGTGTAATAAATGATATAGAATAGAAAAAAACACATGTTTGGCAATATGCCAGTGTAACAAAGTGATATGAATAAGCAAAATACATTTTTGGCTATATGCCTGTGTAACAAAGTGATATGAAGAGAAAAAACACATGTTTGGCTATCTGCCTGTGTAACAAAGTGATATAAAGAGAGAAACACATGTTTGGCTATCTGCCTGTGTAATAAGTGATATAGATAATAAAAACACATGTTTGACTATCTGCCTGTGTAATAAATGATATAGAACAGAAAAAACACATGTTTGGCAATATGCCCGTGTAACAAAGTGATATGAATAAGCAATATACATGTTTGGCTATATGCCAATGTAATAAGTGATATGAAGAAGAAAAACACGTTTGGCTATCTACCTGTGTAACAAAGTGATATAAAGAGAAAAACACATGTTTGGCTATCTACCTGTGTAACAAAGTGATATGAAGAGAAAAACACATGTTTGGCTATCTGCCTGTGTAACAAAGTGATATGAAGAGAAAAACACATGTTTGGCTATCTGCCTTTGTAATAAGTGATATAGAACAGAAAAAACACATGTTTGGCAATATGCCCGTGTAACAAAGTGATATGAATAAGCAATATACATGTTTGGCTATATGCCAGTGTAACAAGTGATATAAAGAGAAAAACACATGTTTGGCTATCTGCCTGTGTAACAAAGTGATATAAAGAGAAAAACACATGTTTGGCTATCTGCCTGTGTAATAAGTGATATAGAATAGAAAAACACATGTTTGGCAATATGCCCGTGTAACAAAGTGATATGAATAAGCAATATACATGTTTGGCTATATGCCTGTGTAACAAAGTGATATAAAGAGAAAAAAAACATGTTTGGCTTTCTGCCTGTGTAACAAAGTCATATGAATAAGCAATATACATGTTTGGCTATATGCCAGTGTAACAAGTGATATGAAGAAGAAAAACACATGTTTGGCTATCTGCCTGTGTAACAAAGTGATATAAAGAGAAAAACACATGTTTGGCTATCTGCCTGTGTAACAAAGTGATATAAAGAGAAAAACACATGTTTGGCTATCTGCCTGTGTAATAAGTGATATAGAATAGAAAAACACATGTTTGGCTATATGCCAGTGTAACAAGTGATATGAAGAAGAAAAACACATGTTTGGCTATACGCAAGAATAACAAGGGATATTAAGAGTAAAGCACATGTTTGACTGTATGCCCGTGTAATAAGTGATATGAATAAGCAAAATACATGTTTTTACATGCATTTGTTTGCGGTGTACACGGTACACTACAGATTTTTTTTCACCCATTGAACCTTTGGTATAAGTATGTTTGAACATTGGTTAACTGATCACACGAGAACGTCCAAGTAGAACTCAATAAGTTCGATTCATGAATTCCATGCCCGAGTGGTATCTCGAAATCGAATCGAACTTTACCATGGTGTATGTAGCCATCATTTAACCCTTGTTTCTGCATGTTACATTGACAGATAACGTATGACAAATGTAAAACAGTATTTGTTGTGTGTGAAGTCAGTCTGTAACTACAGTTGTCAATGTACACATTAAAGCTCTGTTTTGAATACAATGAGAGAAAGTCATATTCAAGATTTTTATTTTTTATTTTCGAAAAACATGTTACTGACATGCTATTGCGGGACAGTTAATCGTAGTTCTGTACTATGTTAAAATATCCGTATAAATTTCCATTCTCATTCAGTTTTTTTTACCCTAATTCACTGTTTGGGTTAGAATTGCAACATTTATCTTTCGGGTAACAATAAATAACGATGATAACTGATATTTTCTGAACGAAAAGTACAGTCATGCCTATCTTTTATATAAATAAGTAAACACCACAATAATTTTGCACGAAACCTGTTAAAAATTTACAAATATTGAAACAGTAAGCAAATAGGGAGAATGGAAAATGACAATTCTGAGTGTGGCTTAATACACGGCAACTGGACGATGGCAGTTGTGATTACATGCTATATAATTCTGACATAGCTATATTCGTTAGGGCCAACCCTATACGTATGAATAATTCAATTGCATACAGTGTTGTAGTGTGCTGAACTCTCTCATTTCGATATCCTGGTTATCCAGTTTAGTCGTGGGTAGATAAGTTGAAAACCGAGTGTGGTAATATCACTCCAACTGACGTGATATAGACTGATTATTTGTCGTATCAATATGCTGTTTTATTCAATCAACACAAAATGACAATTAACGATGTTAACGGTTCCATGTATTAGTTTATATCATATAATAATAAGTTGATGTAATTATACAAAGTAAGATACTGCTGAAACATGTTGCTGCAGCTTAATACATTGCAATAAATTTGATACAGGTTAATTGCTCCTGAACGCTTTCTCTTTTCATTGTTAAAATGTGTGCTTGAACTATCAATGCTGTGACCTAGTTCCTGGGACATCTCCAAGCCATGCTGATAATCCTCTATATACCTGGCCAAGTTCATAATCTACCCGTTAAACGTTTTCGCCCTATAATCGATAGAGTCTAGAATGCTAGGCACACAGATCAATACTTTCTGCAGGAAATGGCAACAGCATTCACTTGCTATACAAAGGTCCCACTCAGACGGTAATGGCACAAGATACAGTCAAACTAAATCGAAGACAATAGGGAATTGAACAATGACAACACATACACATAAGAGTAGACCAGTTAATTGTGTGAAACATGTGATGTATCCTGTGTAAAAGCCGTTTTAAAGTGCCCATGACTCGTGTTATGGATCGTAAATAGTTGCAGGACTACCATGGACACTGTTGAAATAGTGGGGAAATAGGCCTGGTTTCTGGGCGTGAAACGTTCCTGTTTGAGAACAAAACTCGAAAATAAGGTAGGTTTATCATAGTGTGACCATTACTTTCATAATGTGGCCGTTACATGTTCGTGGAATTGTAATTAGTATCCATTTACCGATGGAAATGATAATCAGTGACATTAAAAAGAACGTGCACGTCCCTTTGATAACCATGGTCCACCATGTGAAATTATCTGTTCATAACTCCAAAAATGCTTGAATATATTGTATCTATTATTTATAGTCATACTCTAATTAATTGATAAACGTGTCTAAATACATAATTTGGCAGCTAAGTTTGAGAAACTTATAACGATTCTCATTATTCAGTGCTGTTAATCTGTTTATAAATTGCCAGATATTAATTTGATATTGATCAACAAAATTAGTGCACATAGATTTGACTTTGAATCATAGAACTGAACTATGAATTGCATATGATTAAGGTGAACAATATCACGTCCTCTTAGTACAAATGCGTTGAACCCAATGTGTGAGTCGGGTTGTGTTTGTTTACTTTATCGATTTGTGCACGTATATATGCACAACATATACACCCATGGGTGATATGTGCATGTAATAGGCATACCGGGTATACAAAAATGTAGATATTTATTCACACATTTCTGGAAGTAAGGCATGCGTGATGTAAACATACTATTACCATAGACATGCCTATCCGCCTTGAGAGCTGCTGAGAAATGCTTGTTGATCAA